CATTTTGCTGTAAACTCTTGCCTCCATCAACTCTACCTGGAAGCAGTCACTTAGCCAGCTGGCCACTCCTCCCACCCAACCCAGGCAAGTGCAGTACCACCTTTTGTCTACAGATGGTGCAACTGCTCCATTCACACCAAAGGCTTGAGACTGGACATACCAGCAAGGCCTCCTGCTGACAGACCAAGGGACAGTGCCTGCTGTAATACCAATCACCATGATCCAGACCCCAGCAATTTAGGATACACAAAAGAAATATACAATATAGGTTAGATGGAGAAATGGATGGAAGGTCACCTGATCACCTCTGGCCCACCTGGGACTGGGTCCCAGGATCTTTTCTGGGATCACTTCAGCAGCCCTCATGGAGCTCCCAGCTCAACATCCTCCTCAATCCCCAAAAAGCACCACAACACCCATGACCACCCTGGTTAGAACTTTTCAATGGCTCCCAATTCAGCTCTAGGATGAAATTCCCGAGCCCAGCATGAGACATCGCCTTACATCGTCCACACAATACTGCCTAGATTTGTCCACACACTCACCTAACACTCCTTTTTTGCATCCCCAAGGCCCCAGCAGGGGCCAGAACCCAGGTGGGCAGGTGCCCATGAGCATCTGAGTGGCAGAGGGAGGGACAAATCTAGGTTCTGGCCCAGCCCACCTTGCCAACCTCCTCTCCCACCACAACCCCGCACACGCCCACACAGAACTATTTGCAGCTTCCCAGACATGCCACGTCCTCCCATGCTTCCTGCCTTTGCATAAGCTACTTCCTCTGCCTAGAGTGTCCTTCTTCACCCTACTCCAGAGTTCCTTCTGCCTGGGCAACTCCTGCCCATTCTTCAAGACTCAGCTCAACCCTCCTACTCAAAGCCTTCTGATGCTCTCTGCCGAGCAGCTCTTCCTCTATGATCCCAAACGTTCACCCAAAGGAGCAGACCTTGTGCTGCATGGTAACTGACAGCCTCTCCATCTCTCCCCACCACTCTAGGCTTCTAGACAAAATGGCCCAGGATCCTGTCCACACATTAAGTTCTTGGGCTGTGCTCAGCAACAGCATACGCATGCACGCACATGTACACACAGGGGCCCTGCACATGAGCAAAACTTTTCTTCCTCCAACTTGAAAAGAGGAATGCTCATCAAAGGAAAAGGAAGCAGCTAATAAGGAGGCAGGACTTCTGAGATCTTGAAGGTGTGTTAGCCACAGGTTCTTCCTTTCTGTCTGAGCAACTCCTCATTTCCACAAGTGAGGACATTTCCTGTTCCCCCACCCACCACCTCTACCCTGTTCTACCCTGGCCAGTGGCTAAGGGGCAAACTAAGTGGTTACTCAGCAAGTCCACCAACGACTAAGCAGCTCTGTACCAAGCTGGAGCCGGGAGGCAGCTGAACCAGGCACCAGCAAGAAGAGGGAACAGGCCCTAAGACTAGCTGGGGAGTGGCAAAGCTGGCTTAGGAGCAGGGGAAGGCTTCCCTGGGCTCCCTGGAGAGCCCATGCCTACCTCCAAGAGAATGGCCCACTGAGGTTGTCAGGAGCCTAGAAGATAAAGGAATGTCCTGATAGCTAGAAACTCCACCCACCTTGGTTCAATATGATGTCTCTATTTGGGCCCGGCCCTAGGAGGTCAGCCTGGGCCTCTTAGTTCCATCTGCTTGCTCCCTTTCCTCCCTGTAGCAGTCATTTCTCAGGGTACTTATGCCTAGAACAAGAGCTATGAGGCCTCTTGAGTCCTGGCATGGGAGAAGAGGGTGGTCTGCTTGGAATCTAAAGCTTCTGGACACAAATTGGCCCCACTACCCTTTCCAGAGAGGTCTTGCAGTAACAGGTTGACCCTATTGGTGAAGCCATAGTGAAAAGAGGGTCTCAGGGTGCCTGGATGGCTCAGTCAGTTAAGCATCTGACTCTTGATTTTGGCTCAGGTCATGATCGCAAAGTTTGTGAGACTGAGACCCATGTTGGGCTCTGCACTGATAGTACACAGCCTGCTTGGGATTCTCTCTCTCCCTCTCTCTCTCTCTCTCCCTCTCTTTCTGCCCCTCCCTCCCACACACATGACCACTCTCTCTCAAAACAAATAAATAAACATTTAAAAAAAGAAGAAGAAAAGAAGGTTCCTGTCTGGCCAAGACTTCACTGGAAACAGGACAAGACTGATTATCTTCCAGGATCCAGGAAAGGAAAATGGTGTCAGCTGGCCCATTTTGGGGTCAATGGCTGGTCAGTAGAAATGGCCAGGCCTAGGTCCATAACCTGCAACATCTGACAAGGAGAGATGCAATGCTTGCCAATCTCAGGCCTGGAGGGCTGCCTTGACTCCTCCCTGGTCAGCATATCCAGCCCAGAGCTGCCCATAGTAAGGGGAGAAACAGCAACAATGCCCTTCACTTGCACTGGTACCCCCACCCCCCGCCCAGGGGAACAGAGCAGCCACAGCTGTTCATTGCTGGAGGGTGAACAGTGGATTCATTTAACCTCCGAGGTGCTGCAGGTCAACATACCAACTTCCCCAAGCAGGTGGCACCCAAAGGCAAAAGCTGGGCTAGGACTAGTCATGAAGGGAGTGACACAGACATCAGGGTCAGAGGGTAGGACCCATATTTCAGGCTGGAGGGGAGGGGAGTCAGCAGGATGCCAACCTCCAAAGGGGGGGTCCAGGGGCTTTATGGGAACTCTCACCTAGAAGTCTTTCAGGGCCTTCCTACTTTCAGTCCCAAGCATATCGTAACAACAGCTGGTACCTGACAAGGTGCTTTCCGTCTGCCCCGGTTGCTGCCTTCTGTACATCAGCTCATTCAATCCAAACAGCATTGTGCAATAGGTACTTTTATCAATTCTGTTTCTAAGACCCAGACAGCAAAGCTATTTAGCAAGGGCCACACAACAAGGTAGTGTTGTGGAGTCCGGATTTGAACCCAGGCAGACTGGCCCCAGAGCTGTGCCACACAACCCACAGCACCTGGAAGCCCAAGATATAGGCCCTGGCTAGGAATGGCCTGCACAATGGACTCTCTCTACGCTGTACCTCGTCACATGGCCTAGGCGACCTGCAGGAGGCTAGGCCAGAGGCAGGCAAGCAGGGTTCCCAAAAGTACAAAGTCCTAGTGGCACGAGGCATGGGGGTGGGGGTAGGCAAGAGTGCTAAGCATCTACTGGGGACCAGGTATTGGGCCTTACCCTTATTACTTAGTCCCTAGAGAAATAAAACCTCTGAGGTAGAGATTCTTGGAAAGGCCAAGTGACTCACTCAGAATCAGACTCCAGGAAGCAGTGGGGCCTTGATTCAAACTCAGAAAGAGTCCAAAGCCCTCTCTTCCCACACCTCAGTCCTCCTCCCTACCAAAGACAGCTCTGCTGAGAAGAGGGGGTGTGCCTTTCCAGGGCTGCCCCACACAGTTAAACTGCTTATAGAGCAAAAGCCTGGACTCCATCTAGCAGAAAATCGTCGCAGGTAACTGAGGTAGGGAATGGTCTGGGCTTTGGGAAACACCAGCTAGCCCACATTCCCACTGCCCTTTGTCAAGGGTCAACCCTGGGAAATCCCACTCCCTCATTCCTTCCCAGGGTCCATGTGGTCTCAATGTCTCCTGGGAGTGCAGGACGCCCCATCCCCAAACACACTAAAGGGGAAGGGGAAGTGCAGCACAGGCCTAAATCCATACTCTTACCAGCCTTAGCCCCTGCAGACGTGGTGGTCCCAAGCTGGCTTTCAGTGGACTCAAGAGAAAAAAGGAGCTTCAATACAGTCTAGTTTACTAAAGGCAGAACCCAAGCACCACCAGTTCCCATATCTGCCCCATGCCTAGGGCAAGCACCCTCTCCTAGGCCTCAGCCAGGTAAACTGAACTGGCTACCACGCCCCATTTGCCTCAGTCAGGCTCCCCACAAGGGCAGGCAGACAGGTTGCTTAAGGCCCAAACAGCAGTGGAGGCGGTAGCAGCAGAGGGTGGGGCAACAGGTGGAGGGCCAGGCTGGCACACAGGACAGATCCACGGGCATGGTGAGAGCAGCTGAGCCAGTACAGCCTATCCACAGACCAGAGCTGGCCAGGATCAAGTGAGCCACCAGGGGTCTTCTTCCCAGCTCCTTCCCTCCCACCAACACCCAAGGCTCCCAGAGGGACCAGGCCAAGGAGGGGAGGCTAAAGTCATTGTCCAGACCCCCACACTGCACCTCAGAAGCAGGGCTGAGAGCAGAGCAGTTCTGACCCTTCTCCAGCTTTACAAGGGCAGAATTGGATCTGTGTGTGTGTGTACGTGTGTATTCACATGCTTGTGCACTGAGGGAAGGGAGCAGGCACAGATTGGTGACTGACTCTGGAACACACCCCCTCCCTTGGTCCTTAGAAGAAGAAATGGCTGCACTCCAAGAATGTTGGGCCCTGGAGAGGGAAGGAACACCTATGAGTCACCGCCAGGGTCTGTCCACTTCCTGTCACATGCTCCCTCATTCCTTGTCCTACCTCTCCAAAGGCCCTCAGGGATAGAGAATGGAATCCTTTATCTTGCCCAACACTTCCCCAGACCCTGCAACTTCCTCCCATACAGAACTCCAGGATCTGGAGTTGACTGACATATATATGCTGACAAATCCAGGACACAAAGCTGATGAGATATATATGCTCAAACAGCATTTGACACAAAAAAGTCCACAGCAATTGCCATGACCCCGCCTCAGTGGTGCCCTTTCCGGTGTCACTCCTGGGCCCACAGCCAAGTGAGGCCCCACCAGGCCTTTCTCAGAAACCAGCGTCCCCCTGCCCAGCTGAGGCCAGGAGCTGAGGCCTAGAAGGGGAGTGGCTAGAGAGCTGTCAGTCCACACATTATGGGGGAGGGCAGCAATGACAGCAGGTTGCCACCTCTCACCTGGTCCCTCCCTGTCCCACTCACAGAGCCTGAAATAGCCTCATTCCTCCCTACATTCACACAGAAGCAGGTTATGGCCCCCATGTGCTCAGCCAGGAGAGGGAGAGGGTGTGGGGATGGGCCACACAACAGTGCAACCTAGATCCTGTCCCTTCCTTCTGTGAACCACAAATACACAGGGCCCCATGCTGGACACTGCTTAGGGAGGCAGCCGAGGGAGAAGGCTTGGGTTCTTAGTCTTCCCCAGGACTGGATGGGGTTTCTCCCCCAGGCTCCCCTGATATACCCACACTGAGAGATCCTGAGGGCTAGGCCCTTTGGTCCCCGAGGTGCCCCAGTGCCCAGCAGCATGGCATAGATCAAGTGTTCAAATACCGCTTAAAAAAAAAGCATGCGTGAACTGTGTGAGATCAATACAACTCTTGCTATATGATCCTCAGTCTCTTCCTCTATAACATAAGCACTGTGGAACCTGTGGTCTTAGGTCTTTAGAGACCAGATAGTCTGTGACAGTCATGAGCACTTGAAGTCTGAGGGTCCATGGTTCCCTGAAGCTTTTGTGAGAATCTCTTCTAGGCAGAAATATACTGCCCAACTCTAAGAGTAGGTGGAGACTAAGCATCCCTGAGCCATTCCAGGTGTCAGGGTATAACCTAGCTCTGAATGTGGACACAGTATCTTCTAGAGTGACCCAGGATCAGAGGGGCCACTTTGACCTATATGTTTGTCCTCTGAGCCAGCCAGATGTCCATAGCCAGGCCAAGGTCTAGGCCTAGGTCATGAGAGCTCAGCCTAATGTCTCAGTGTACCTAATTAATATGAATATTTTGTCCACCATTTTTGTTGTTGTTAAACAGCTACTGAGGGCCAGGTTGTAGGATGAATGCCTCACCTGTGTCACTTAATTTGATTCTTGCCAGACAACCTATGAAGCAGATATCTTAACACAGTTCTATAGATGAAGAAACAGAGGCCCAGAGAGATTATTTGACACGATCAAGATCCAAAGCATGACAGTGATGAGACAGAATCAGAACCCAGGGCTGCCAGCCTTGAGGCTATACTCTCAGGCTGTGGTCCCCCAAGACTGGCACCCAAGTCAGGCTGCACCCAGCCAACCCTGGACACCCAAGGCCACCCGACCTCAAGGACAATTGTATGGAGGACTGGGCTAGGAGGCCATGGGAAGAGCACTCCATGCCAGGGTTTTTCTACCTCACTCTTCCCTGGACCAGCCTCCAGCACTGACCTCAAGGTATACTCCTGCTTTGGCTCTTTCCCATCCTGGAATTAGCATTTCCAACCCAAGTGGCAACATGCTGCTTTAGGAACAGGACATGCTGATGAGGAAAGAGGCAACTGCAAGGACTCTCCTCCTTCCCACCACTGAGGCCTGCAGAGTCTCTAACTGGATCAGGTGAGGAAAGAGGGGCAGAGACCAGGGGAGGGCATATAAGAGGGGCAGGGACCTACATAACGGAGCCCTGCAAGGGTGGGGGTCGGGCATCTGGTCCAGGAGCTTCCTGAAGCCTAGCACCTGCCCCATGCCACTTATGGTTCCAGTGCTCTAGACTCCCACTTAGTGCCATCTCCCAACCATGTGACCTCAAATCCTCATCATCTATTCATCCCTCAACCAGGCCATGTCACCTCTCACCTGGGCCCAGCCCAATCTCCTCAATGGCCTCCCTGTCTCATCTCCTCCTCTCCTCCACCTGCCATCCAGTTAGCTTCCTAAGTCACAGGGGGCAAACTGTGCTGTGCCTTGCCTCCCAACCTGCTCTTCTTCCCACTGCCTGGCCCAGTGAACCTTTCTACCACTTTCTTCACCCACACATGTCCACTGGCCACACTTTCCCTGTCATCCCATGTCTGTAAGCCTTTACTGCTGTACTTCCCTCAGTCAGGAGGCCCTTCGTGGCAGAGCAAAGTTCTACTCACGGGAGATGTCCCAGCTAAAGTCGACCTCCTCTCTAAGCCTCTTGGGCAGACTTGAGTACCCTCCCCAAATGCACAGCTCAAAGCTCTGTGGGCATCGAGTATAGTGGCTATTAGAAATTCATTTGCATGGGGCTGACTTGCCAAACACATGAAAGTTTTTGAGGAAAGGGCCAGGTCTGTTCATCTCCGGAGTGCAGACGTCATGCAGAACCTGGCACAGACAGTCAGTACACCCTTGTTTCGACTAAGTACTCCAGTGAGGCTTGGTCAGCAGACAGTGGGTAGGCTGTAGGCCTTGCCTACTTGAGCTCTTCAGACAAGGAAACCAGAGCTGGGGATTCCCAATGGCCTGTTTGCCAAGGCTCCAAGCTGAAGGCTGAAGAACTCTTGGCAGAGCTGCCAGCCCATGCAGCTGTGGGCAGTACCACCCCATGGCATGGCAGGAGGCCACATTGGTGAGCCCTGACTCACCACAGGCTGTAAGTACAGCCAGACGCCCACAGGGTGCCAGTGATGCTGGGCTCGTCTGTGAGCCCAGCAGCCTAGACATTCTGGGGAGCTCACCTGGTTCCACTTGCCCCCTCCTCTCCACCAGGCCCTCCTGCAACCAGGCAGCTTGACATCCAAAGAGATGCTATATGACTGAGGCAGGAGTCACCAAAATGGCTGAAGAGGTAGGATTCTAAGCCCCATGCCCAGGGCCTGCCCTCTCAAGCCCACAGGAGCTGCAGCCACAGCAGGAAAGCTAAAAGAGGGAAGGCACAGAAACAACAAGGTATGACCCCAAAGAGAGGCAGAATCTGAACTGCCTGGCCTTAGAGTACTGGCCTCAAATGGGGATGGAAGAGGGAGGGACAGCAAGAGGAGGCAGGGGACGAAAGCCTTGGCAGAAACTAGAGACACACAATGCTGTGGCCCCCTGCAGTCAGAAGTCCATGGGTAGCTATGGGTAGCTATGAGCCAAGAACCAGACCTGGGCAAATAGAAAGGAGCATATGGATGCCTGGCACAGGAGTCCAAGCTAAATCTGGAAGGAGCTTCAAGCTCAGAGAAGAGGTTGTCTGCAGGACCATATCACAGATTTTCCCACCCCTTCCTCAGAAACTACAACCCCCCGGCCCCATGTCCATCCATGGGGCAGAACCGCAGCCAGGGAACAGGAGGCTCCTTACCATGTGGGGGTTGTCGTAGTAGACGGCGATGGAGCGGAGCTTGGGGGAGACACTGCAGCTCTCGGTGAAAAGCCTCCCAGTCTCGCTGTAGGGCCCCACGTGGAACTTGTAGGCCACAGTGACATTGCGGATGGGGGGTGAGCCGGCACTCACCACCACCCCAGACAGCAGCCCTGAGTACCCAGCAAAGGCCAGCAGTGTCAGCAGCAGCAGCAGAGTCAGGCCCACAATCAGGCCTAGGAGAAGCAGGTCAGACATGGCTCTGTGCCCCCGACACTGTGCCCCCAAGACAGCTGCAAAAGAGACAGGAGGGAGAGGAGGCTGGTAGCCTGCTCTGACCAATGTGCCCACCTTCCCGCCAGCCACTTATGGCCCAACCTCAGCCCTGCCTTGGGTGCTCTGACCCAGGAGGAGGAGGGACCAGGGTGTTTACACACAGAAGTGACCTAGAAGAGAGCTACAAAGGATGACTGAAGCCGCAAGCCTCTTTATTTCTTAATCACAATTGTTGAGGCTCTCAGAACAGCTCTGCCTGTCAGCTGGCAGCCTTGGTCACACCTGGGGAAACTGAGTCATAGAGGTGAACAGGAGTGAGTCAGCTATGGACATACTCCCAGCCTTGACCAGCCTCCCTCAAGATGGGCAAGAAAGCCAGCTTGCCTTTTCCCTACACTACTTCTTCCTTCCCACAGCAGAGCCACACTGCCTGCCCAGCTTCCCCAAGCCTCATGGACCACTATCAGAGGGAGGATGGGCAAGCGCCAGGGTCCAATCATTTATTAACAAATAGGGAAACCATAAGGAACAAAACCCCACGGGGAAAATGTACCACAGGAAGAGACTTTCATAGGAAACTCTCCTTTGTGAAGCACATCGGGCCCTCGGAATCTTGCTATCCAGCAAGCTCACCCATCCAGAACCAAGGAAAGATCGGATCAAATCAGCCAAAGCAGCCAGAACAAAGTCCAGCACTGTGCTTCCCAGACTTGAGCCAATGGTACTAACAAGATTCATCCCACTTTTCCAGCCCACAGATTAGAAACAAAGAGGAGGAAGACAAGTTTGTTAGAAATGGAAACACACCAGGGAGAACAATTACTTATCCCTGGCCCAAGCAGTTCATCCCATGGGGAAGGGGTGCCAACCTAGAGGGAGCCACAGCTGGGTCCACTTGCTGCCCTGTCCCTCTCCCCATCAGCATCTCCAGGTGTTTAGAATTAGTTTTTGTAGTTTTGATCTTGCCACCCCACCTTCTCTACTAGGTAGTTCATGGAAAGGCATCCTGGGGTGAGGTGAGGGTGTCTTTTTTTCCTTTTTGTGTTTATGTCGTTTATCTGACAATTGTCCCTCCTCCCCATTGGCCTTTCCTCATTCCTCCTTTTTGTATGCTACAAGTAATAAAGACACTCATTTCAAGGAAAACAACAACAACAACAACAACAACAAAGAAACAGAGAAGCTATCCAAAAGCAGGGCCAGGAACACAACATAGAGGTTGGTGTGTGAGCCATTCAAGGCAGACTGTCCAGCCCTCTATGAAGCTGGGGGCCAGAAGCCCAACCCTCTTATACAAAGGGCTTGATTTGAGTCCCCCAGGGGGGTGGAAAATCACAGCAGTTTAAAAAGGAAGGGAAACATGTGACCCACTGGAGGAATATTCTCACTCCAAGTATTTAAAATTTTAAAGATTTGGGGCACCAGGATGGCTAAGTAGGTTGAGTGTCTAACTCTGATTTTGGCTTGAGTCATGATCCCAGGGTCTTGGGATCGAACCCCACATCAGGCTCCACTGAGTGTAGAGGCTGCTTGAGATTCTCTTTCTTTCTCACTCCCTCTGTCCCTCTGCCCCATTCGTGCACTCTCACTCTAAAATATAAATAAACAAAAATTTAAAAGATTTGGGAGGTGGAAATCAATGCTTCAGCCCTATGGGAAATTTAGCTCTATGGAATAATTTGTTCCCTGTGGGTTCTGGGTGTCAAAATTTTTTGCTGAAAAACGGTCTTTGGAGTCAACATACACATAGTGTTTGCCTTAACAAAGAGGCAAACTAAACTCCTAAACCTTTGATGTCATAGCATGGAGGTGCATCACACTGGTATTAGCCATCCCTGTTCCTGCGCCACAGTTGTGCTTTTTTTGGATGCATTGGCCATCCTACTCATCTTGCCTCCAGTTAGTTTCATTCCTATTTTCCTTGGTGATGATGATGATGACGATAAATCTTTCACTTACTATAGTGTAGTACTAATCTACGGTACTTACTGTATGCCAGGCACTATCCAAATGTTGAAACACAGCTACTTTATTAATCCTCAAAACAAGGTAGGTAAGGATCAGGAAGTTAAGAGACTTCCCCCAAGGTCACACAGGTACTAAATAGAACGACTTGGACCAAAATGCAGGCACTAGGAACTCAGGCAGTCTGACTCCAGGCTGCCATTTTCACTTTCTCCTCCCAAGTGACAGGATTTCCAGAAAGCCTCAAGCATTTAATCCATGTTGGGACATCTCTGAACCCAAGGCTCTCAGCTGGAAGCTCTCACTCAGCAGCTAGGTCTCAGTTGCCTTGAGAGTGACCATCCTTCACTTTGACCTACCCTCTAGGCTGCACATTCCCCGTCTACCTCAAAGGAACTTAGTTCCCACCTCCCTCTTCCTCTCACCTCCTAAAGTACTCAGAAGAGAGGGAAAATGCACCCCAGAGCTTAGGTCAGCACAGGAGGAAGGCAGGGCAAAGTGTATTTCCCCATACTCAAGAGAAAGGGCAGGAGAAGGGCCGAGGAAGCTCACCTGAAAAGCCAGGCTCACTTTTAGCAACTCATGGCATCCAGCGCCGCAGGGACCAAATGCTCCAAGTACTCCAGTGCTGGGGGCAGAGAGAAAATCACCACTGAGCTGGGCACCCTGCCCTGACTGTTCCCTTTTCGGGGAAAGCCCACTAGGGCCTCTACAGGAACTCCCTCCTCACCACAAGGCTGCACCTCTACCTCGTCCTCCTACCGCTTACGGAAATCAGAAGCCAAACTCGGCCTCATAATGTCAACTCTTCACTGGGGCTGTGCTTATGCCCCTGTTCTTGGAGAGTCCTCTTCCTGGAGGTTTCCAGCCTCTGTAACTGGCTTTGAAACAGCCCCTGTCGCTGACATCGGTTTCTCCTCGGGTCAGAGACCAGGGGTGGTCGTCTCTGACCCGAGCCGGCGAGGCTTCCTGAGGCTGCTCACTTGCGCCGCGGCAGTGGGCCGGGCCCTTAAACTTCGGTGCCAGTGAGCGGCGAAAGACCCAGGCCTGCGCGGGACTGAGGTGCGCCGACTCCCACTCTGCGCTTCCAGCCCTGCTCACTCGCGCCTCGCTTATTTACCCAGCTCTTTTCTTTTCAGCCATGACCTCAAGGGGTCTCACACACCTCCGTAACTTAAGAGTATCTAAAGTTTGCAGCCACGGCTGAGGCGCGGCCTCCAGGGATAGGGGCGGAGCTAAAGTGCGGTTTTTGCCTCAGTTCCCCAACCCCCACCCTCCACCCCCGGCTCCAGCTCCTCTGGCTCGGGGCGTGCCTCGTGGCCGAAGCCGGGGCAACGCGGGGTGGTAGGCTGGTCCAAGGTCGCGTTCGGGCCCTTGGACCTAGCCGGGCCCTTGGACCCAGCTGTGGGCGAGACGAGATGCAAAGAGTGCCCTGGGTTGCGGGGGTCACGAAGGGGACGCGGGAACCCCTGAGGTCGCGCCCGGACAGACGGAGGCTCCAGGCCCTCAGCGCGCGTGAGGCCGCCCAGGCGGGGACGCCTCTCCTCCGGCCCAGCCCTCACCTCAGCGGCCGCCCGCCGCGGACGCCGATCCGCGCAGGCGGCTCCAGGCTAGGTCGCGGAGCCTGCGCGCGCCCGCCGCGCACGCTCGCTCCGCCCCCTCTCGCGGCGGGACGTGGCCGTGGCCGTGGGCGCGTGCGCGCGGTACCGGAGGGCGGAGGCCTGCCCCGCCCGGTCTTAGCATCGAGCGGCGCCCAGCCCCCGGAGCTGTCAGGGGCGGAGCCCACTGAGCACTTTCCTGCCTCCCACAAACTTACCCGGCCCCAGGTGTTGGGGTAAGTCAGCCTGGTGGCCCACAGTAGAGAGCCAGACTGGGTCCAAGGAAGCCCGCACCAGAGTGAAGCGTTTGAAGAGGCTTGGAAAGTTCAGCACAGCAGTATCAGCCTATGGCATTTATTTGTAGTACCCTTCGTCCTGCCACTTCCTCTCATTGTAGCTTCCCGATGGGCCTGGGAACCCAGCAAGTCAAGGCTACCTGCCCCCGTTTTACAACTGAGGAAACTGACGCCCAGCTTGGACTCAGGGAAGAAGCTAGTGGATCCAAACTCTGGAATAGCGCAAATATCAGTCATGCCTCCAACACTCCACCCCACCCCACCCCCAACCACAGGAGTGGTCATTCATCCACCCAACATTTACTGAGTAACACTCCTTGCCAGGACAGTTCAAGGGGCTGGGGATACTGAAGAAACGGAACTAAGGCCCTACCCTCTTGGAGCTAAGCAGGAACCGCCCCCTTGCAGTCTCCTCCCCAGAGCCCTGGAAGTGCCTGGGGGAGGTTGGGCTGACCTTCTAGCTTAAGGTATTCTAGTGTAAACTCCTTGAACATAGGCTGAATCCTCAGCTCATATTTCTGAGGACCTACAAACTATACAAAGCACTCTTCTAGAGCCCTAAAGATAAAACTTTGCCCTCCTGAGAGGCCCAGTCTTGCAGTGGAAGGGGTAGGAGAGGGAACAACTATGCTCCTAAGCTTGGCTACATGACGGGCTGGCCCAAGAGCTACCTTGGTGCCTCTGACACAGAGGATTGATATTTGGGAGGGGAATCATCTTATTCTGGATTCCACTACTGCACTAGCAAAGGGCAGACTGAACACACGGAGGCACTCATAATCCTGGCTTCTTTTCCCACTACTTCACAGTTCCAATCCCAGGCAGGAAAGAATGACCCTCATCCACAGGGCCAAGCCTATCCCCAGCCCTCTGGGCAAACACTGGTAGGAAGAGCAGCTGGCCCCTCACAGGCACTCAGGGCTGGGCTGGCAGAGTCATGGCAGTTTGATTTTGCTTATGAACATCAAACACATGATCAAAACCTTTAGGTGCTCCAGGCAAGTGGGCTATACACTTGGAAGCATTTCCTGTGAGATAAGGGCCAATTCATGGTTCAGAGACAAGACAGCTTCTGAACACAATGTTCACCTGGTCATTTTTCCTGTTTCTCAGAATCTGATGAGATTGTCCCAAGAAACCGTTGTCTGGAGCTGCTCTTTCCTCATCTTGTCCTCTCTGCTCACTTCCTTCAGGCTGGCTGGGGAATTCCAGATGCCCACGTCAGAGTTCAGGGTGTGCCTTAGGAGCTTCACTACCTCTGTTGTCAATGGAGAGTCTACCTGTGATAGAAGCTGTTGGCCACAAGTCCCCACTCCTCCCTTTCATCTCAGGCTGCTCCCAACAGAGTAAGCCCAACCTTTGGTAGGGATCTCTGCAAGACCTCTGCTGGCCACCAGCTAAGACAGCTAAGACGCAGTCCTCTTCCCTCTAGAAATAAGTGTAAGCAGACCTGTTCCACCTTATAGTACGAATCCTCTCATGAACCCAGACTTGGACTTTGTCTCCTCCTGCCTTTCTCTGTCCAAGAAACCCCCAAAGAGCCACTTTAATTCTCCCTCTGCAAACTTCCAGAGACTCTTTCCATAGGGCTTCTCCCCTTACAGGGACCAAACTTGGAGACAAAGAGTGGACTGCCCTCACCTTCCCTTATGTCTCATATTCCAAAGCCCTGGACAGTTCTCTGTGAGGCAATGGTTAGATCCACTAACCCAGATGACAAATGGAGAAGGCATATGCAGTGTAAGACAGTCTGCATACCCTGCCACCAGTCATCTCCCATCCTCTGAAGGCACTTATGCTGCACCCAACCCCCAATCCCCCACAGTCTGGTTAGGGCTGCCCCAGCAGGACTTGCCATGATTGAGGATCATCAAGCTTTAAGCCACTCTGAGTCAGTTTCGATGTTTCATCTAGAGCCTGGAAATGCAGTCCTCTTCAGGTGAGCAAAGGCAGAAAAAGCCTAGTGAACCCCATTGCAACAAAGAGCCTACCAGCAGTCTGCCCTCTATTCCCACCTCTCTCCCCCACCCCACTCACATCAAGTACCATCCCAGTGCCCACTATACTCTAAGTTTATATCCCTTTCACCACCCAGTCAGCCAGCCAGCTGTTCAGACAATTCCTTGATCAAACAACACTGCCTTCTGGAGTTTAAATTTTATTTTACAAAAAGAGAAATAAAGAAAACTGATAGGCAGTTATACTGACTTACAATTGTTCTGTTTGCTTTTTTAAAAAAGTGACATGAAACACAAGTAAAAATAAATACGTCATAGAAACAGCCAGTTGCCCAGTCTCTGGGGCAGGAGCACCTGCCCTGCTGAGAGAGGAGGGAAGCCCATGATCACACCAGCAGCTGGAGCACCCAGACACAGATGCTCCTCAAAGCCAGGCGCAGCAGGTCCCAGGCCTCAGGGGGCGTCCTGAGGAAAGAAGACGGAAAACCAAAGCCAGGTGCCAGGTCCCTGGGGCCACTTCATATCTCCCCCTCCCCCCAACTCCTCCCGGCAGCAGTGTGGCCTTAGTGGTTATCCATTGCGACCCCCTCAACCCACCTGGACCCCCTTCCCCTGACCCTTCTGGAGAGGGTACAGGATAAAACCAGTCTTGGGCAGGCTGAGGGGGATTTTTCCCGTGAGTCCCCAGCCCACCCTGAGTAACACAACCAGATAACAGTTTACACCCATATGCACGAATGCACACTCTCTCGCGCGCACATGCATGCACACGTGTGCGCACACATGCACGCACACTCTTTCTCTCTCTCTCTCTCTCTCTCACACACACACACACACACACACACACACACCCCTGGGCTGAGCTCTCTTTCAGAGAAGGGTCCTGGGTCAGGTCACAGTATGAGGTCCCCTCTTCTGAATATCATCCCAGTAGTGGTAACAGAGTACCCAAATCTCCCCAAGCCCTCTGCACTACAGACTCCACAGCCTGCCTGGCTACCTCTTCCCAGTGCACTGGATTACTATATCCAACCAACCTGTGAGAGAGGAAAGGGGCAGACTCAGGTCCCTGAAGAATGAAGAAGTAAGTTGGCCACTGCCTGCTCGGGAAGTTCATCGTTAAGACTTGGTATTCATAAAAGGCCTAGGGCCAAGCTAGTGGCACAGAAGAGACATGAAGGGGTCACATCAGAACACATAGGGCAGAAGAGTCAGTAGGAGGGGACAGAGTCTGACGGTGGCTGATGGAAAGCGCAGCATTCTCAGGCCTTGAGGTGCAGATCTCCTGGGAACAAGTCAGAGGAGGGCCAGAAAGTCTCCTGGGGGTCTGTTGGGGGAAAGAGCTCTTATCTCAGAGTTTTGCTGGGGAAAGAATGATTGATCTGGGTGCACAGGAGGCCAGGACTCAGAAGGGAGACTGGTCTTCTGAGGACTCACAGGGAACTGGGAAGCAGGAGGAAGGGGGTCATGGCCAAGAACACTAGGAATAAGGAATGTATAACCCCCAGACCTTCCCCATGGGGTGAGGACTCGGTTCCAGAGCAATGCCACAGCAATGCCAGGCTCAAACGGACTGAGACAGACAGCCTTGCTCTGCTGACAGCTTTGGGAGTGACCATCTCACCCAGACCACTAAAGTTTGGTTGTTTCAACCTATCAGCAAAACTTTACCCCAGTTAACTGCTTCACGCCCTAGAGAGGGCAATTTCATATTTAGTTGTGAATCACAAGTATATACAGAGATACCACATACTAATTCCTAGAGAAGAGAGTTCCAAGGACCAGAAAGAGTTCTCCTTAAGTCAGGAGGTGAAGAGATAGATGCTCAAAAAGCACAACTCGAGGGGTGTGAACTTGGCAGATATCCAATGATCTGATCCAACATGGTTCATTTACTTTCTTACTGAAATGGCTACTTTGTCTCTGGTTCCATTTTCATCCACAAAGATATTAAGAAAAGAAAATTGAACATCATTACAAATGGTAATCCTGAATCATTAAGTAGTACTATATTCCCTAGGCTGAGGATTCAGACTAAGCCAGATGGATCAAGCTTGAGAGGTCCTTGAAAACATCCTTTGGAAGACAATGGTGAGGGGAAAATGCTGAGAGGCCTGATCCACTGCACATCCCTCCCCACCCCCCACCCCCCCACCACCCATTATCACCATCCTTCCGTCACTCAGGCCTAGATGGTGGTTGAAAGCCACCACCAAGTGTTTCTGATCAAAGAGGCT